TATATACGTGAAATAAAATTTCACGCCTTTATTGTTACAATTATAAAGCAGCGTCAAATTTTCTCAAGAGAGCGGACTCTAATTCCGCACAATTATATTCCCACGCATTTGTACAGCGGTAATAAATCTAGAAATCCAATTTTCCGATTTTAAAATCTTTTTCCACTTCTCAAATTTATCAAGATTGAAGATTTCAAAGTTTCAACGCAACGGTAATGGCTGTAAATTGGATATAATTCCGACTGTGAATCTTTTCGATCTTATCAAATTTAAAGCGAAATTCTCAATCTCTCTCTCTCTCTCTCTCTCTCTCTCTCTTTCTTTAACATGCGACAATGACGAAGTCTAGAAATCTACCGCAAACCAAGACTTACCGTATTGATCGGTAATCATTCTTGATTCCTCTTCTTGCGCTTTCGCGTGCCGCTCGGATACTGTAATAGCCCATGGAGGCACGAAATGCCTTCGCAGTCCCCAGTAAGGAAGAAATTGATCCCGCGGATAGCACTCGGGGACGATTATCCCTCACACCTGATGCCGCTGCTGAATTGTCATACATTGCGTATCTCGCGCCCCGTCATCCCCGAATATCGCCAATTCACCGGGCCGACTGAAATCGCTTAACGCCCGGAAATTAACTGATTACGATAGCGTCATCGAACGCGCGTGGCACAAGGAGAAAAGATCGTTTGCTGCATATATACCACCCCCGTCTTGTGATCCCATTCCTCCGGACCGATTTTTCTCTCCCCCTCTCCCTCCCTCTCTCTCTTTCTCTCTCCCTCCCGCCCTATCTCTCACTCTATCTCTCTCGTGTTGACCTTTGGCCGCCTAATATCGGCGACCGGCCAGCAGTAATTCCCCGAGCAGCGGGGAAATTAATTACGATCCGTGCCGACCACGCCGACCAATCGTCGCGCGCCTCCTCGGGATCCTCGCGGGGCCTAGCGCGGAATGTAATCTTCTGCCTCCTCCCTTTCAGCCGGTGGAGAATCGGCGTGCCAGAGAGAGAGAGAGAGGGGGGAGGGGGAGGGGGAGGGAGAGAGAGAGAGAGAGAGATGTATATCACGCGCTACCCCATTTGACGAGAAAGAATAACTTCCCCTTTGTGCGACGATAATTAATACGATGCTCTCTTAGCGAACATGCATCAGCTTCCGTCGTCGCGTACACGCACAATGCCGCGATACACACCTGCTGCCAAGCTGAACCCCAGCACACCCGACACTTCGCTTCA